ATTATTCATCATAACACAGCATTTTCTTAAAGCTATCAGGTGTGACAAAGCTAGCAGCACATTTGCAACATGACAACAAAAGCATGAAGAACTGATACTTTTCTTCTCATAGAAATATTTGTGAGCTACAGTTTAGATGTTAGTGTCATTTTCTTTGCATGATATTAACACTTTAAAGCTAATAGGTAAATAAAAGCAGCATAATGTCTTTTTCTGCCATAAATCTACTTGACTCACTTTGAGTTAGAGAGAATTACATTTTTCTGGAGTCACATTAAACTGATTCATTTCAGACCATTTTTCTAAAAGGATTTTTCAGAGTCTTTTTGTTGCTTTTGTGTTGGAGGGAATATTACATTTGACAGTTAGAAGTTAGCATTTCCAGCTTGACAATCATTGACAATCGTGACTATTTGATTTTTTTTTTTTTTTAAAGAAGAAGAAAAGAAGAAAAAAGAAAAAGCAAATCTAAATGACTAAAGCAAACAAACAATAACCCAGTTCTACTGACCCACTGGGTATGTGTCCCACCACCTGGACTCTGTGCTGTCCAGCCAGATCCATCTGTACTGACAGGAGGGTGCTGAGAACAATCTATGAGAGAAAAGCAGTGGAAGTGACATTTTCTGCACTGAATGTTCACTTTGGAAAAGAAGAATATAAAGTAATCTGCATCCTAATATCACATAAATCGGCCAGTTCAAGTACACACTGACATAAACAGATAACTGATAAAACTAGCCTTTGTCTTAAAGCTTTTTCCCCCATGATATACTACAAAACCTACAATTGTATATAACTGAAAACATGAAGCATAAAAAACGTCGGGAGTTCTTTTGCACGCAGTACGTTTTTTACCTCTCTCGCTCTCTTTTTTTGTTATAAAATTAAATAGCTGTGTAATTACATAGCTGTAACTACATTAAAAAATGTTACAGTAATCCTTAATTGAAATCTTTAAATTACTTGAAGAACTGAGAAGCAGTACAAACAAACAAATTCAATTCTTATCAACACATCAGACAAGAGAATGATGATTAACCAGTGTCCAGGTGCACATATTTGCTGTATGTGGAGAATCGTGGCTTTGGAGATTAAAAACAGATTATTATATAATTATGAGTCATTCATCAGTTCATCACCGTGGCATCTGTCCATCTGGGTGCATCTTATGGACATGAGTCTACTGTTTATGTGTTTGTGTGTGTGCGTGTGTGTGCGTGTGTGTCTGTGTGTGTTTCACCAGTATAAGCTCCCATGGTATGGCGACAGGCAGTTTGTTCTTAAACCGCTCATTCAGCAGTTTGCCTCCGATGAGCATCAGCAAAGAAACCAAAGAGACTAACAGAGTTCCTGTTACAGCATTGGTCACTCCATACAGAACATCTATGAAAGTCTGCAAGACACACACACAAAACTTCCAGCTGCACTTTCAAATTATAGGACCTGCTTTAATAACGCAGCAGGAAACTGCATTTGCTCTTACGGCCACCTGAGGTAGCTCCAGAAGAATATACTCACATGTCCAAATGCCCAACTAAATGGTTTTCACATTTTCAGATTCATGTGCTCTAGTGCACATCAAACCTTACAGTTCAGTGGCTCTGGAGGAAATCAACCACCTGCAAAGTGCTGATAAAACACCCTGACACTTAAGAAGTGCAATACTGTCAGTGTAGAGGTGACACGATGTGTCTTTGAAGGAGTTTAATTTGCACCACGTAGTGCCAAAGAAAAAGAAAGTAATTTACAGCCACGGCCCATGCAGTTAGGAGGTATCATTAGATTATTTCTTTATTCCTGATAAAAAAAAAAAGTTCACAGAGAGGTTTTTTTACATGAAGTCTAGAAAAAAGGATGATGCTCTCCTTTGTTTCTTGTTTCTGGACTTACTTATTTCAGCTCAAAGGTGGCGTGCCTGAATGTGTGCATGATAGTGCAGCTGTTTCAACTGACCCTAGGTGAAGCCAGCAGTCCAGTATGTTTCTGTACTGGTGCTCCTGTCATTAGCGGCAGCTGTACGATGATCATGTGCAGGGCGGCTGCTGTGGTGTAGGCTCTGATTACAGGATCCGACAGCCAGCGGCACACAACACCTCCCCGCAGCAGGTACAAAAGGAGCTAAAGACACACAAACGCAGACACAAGAAGGTTTAGTATTTCCATTTTGACTGAGTGCCACTCTAGTCTTAATTAATTAAAAATAAATGAATGGTAGTTTACAAAATATCAGAATCACAATTCTGGATGTGTGTGTGTGTGTGTGTGTGTGTGTGTGTGTGTGTGTGTGTGTGTGTGTGTGTGTGTGTGTGTGTGTGCGCGCGTACTTGTATTAGGCCACAAAGGAAGGTGACTTGCACCGTTACGTTTACTTTGGCTGCTTCAACAGCTGCTTCATCACCGTCGCTAAGCAACTCCACATTAGCTGTCACAGTCCCAATCATGATGGACAGGACAGCAAAGGTACCTGTCATACACACACACACACACACACACACACACACACACACACACACACACACACACACACACACACACACACAGAGCAGCAGAACTAGTTTACTCTTTCCTGAAGTATCTTTAGTTACTGAATTAGGCTTTATTTAGTAAAATGATTGAATAAGAAAAATACTTTTTAAACGATTAAATTTTTTTTTTTGCAACAGAAAAAATTCCTAATAGATTTTCAGAGGTGCTCATGGAAACGTCACTGTATGGAATGACTGTAGGAAAATCCAGAAAAGCGTCAAATGTAAGAATCACCGATGGAGAGGTGTCTGGAAGTGCCAAAGATGAAGTAGACGATCAGAGGATAAAGAGAAGCGTACAGACCAAATGCTGGAGGAATTCCTGCCAACATGGCATTGGCCATACCTGGAAAAGAATAAAGGAGGCGGCTGTGCAAATCAGTGTTGAATAAATCTGTGGATAATATAGGTGCCAATTTTCACATTTACACTCATTCTAAACCCTTCAGCAAATTTGAATGAAACTGGGTTCATATGAAGTCTGATATGAACTTGAAATTATAAATCTTAGCTCAATTTGACACTTTGTCTGTAATGCTGCAAAGCAAAGTTATATGTTTTTAAATTATTTCCTTTCACAATGTGCTGTGACCTCTAGAATTGGCAGTTGCAGTTTCCATTTTGAAATAATTAAAACGTGTGGCCAGGCTTACATATTTATCCAATGAAAGCAATGTTTCTCTGCATCACAACCTCCCACCTACACACTACACCTTAACCTTACAGGCTGTAAAATGCAGAAACTTAAATATGATTGTGAATTAGTTATTTTAGATGTTATATTTGGATTCAGCATATTAAAATGCACAAGAAAGAAACAGCTCACTTAAGTGCTTAAATTAAGGTTAGGGCCACAAAGTTGCCACAAAGATCTACGTGAAAGTTTGATGGATTTAATAATTTATTGTTGGTTAAAGATTATTATAGTTCTTTAGTCTTTATCAATCAAAGTCATATTGTAAATCTTAATGCGATAAGGGAGGGGAATGAAGCCTTTATAGATTTGTGAGTGAAGGTATTGTGGCAGACTGTAGTTCAGACTCTTTTGTGACTTTTATGATACTCTTATCTGTTGCTGTAGCCTAACCCTGGGGTAGATGCATGATCCCAACGCTGATGCCAGACACCAGATCTCCGACGGCGTTGTGTCTAACGGAGTAATGAGGGAGCCATGACAGGACGGGAATAACCTCCAGCACGAAGCTTTTTATCCTGGAACCAGAACACCTGGAGGAAAACACGCACAAGCTATCAGCTATAGAGCCTCAGATAAACACAGCTGGGTCAAACGCAGTAAGGCCAAAAAATGTTATCCTTTGACTCACCGACATTGTGACTTTACCCTCTCCGAAAGTGACAGACACTTCTTTTCTAGCCTCTGCCCGAGGAGATCCAGCTGTGCCTCGTCCAGGGCGTGTGCGAGAACAAGCTGCCTGGAGCGTGGCCGGTCATTTTGCTCAACGCTGTCCATCTGAAATAACTGTGGAAGATTACTGAGAGCACAGTGAAGTTTCATTCTGCCTGCGTTTGAACACTGTGTGTTTGTTTAATGTGCCTCGCTGACCTGTTTTCATGTGTGCTAAATCTGTGAATAAAGTCACATGACAAAAGCGAAAAGAAGTGCTTCTTCAGGAAAACTTAAACAAATTAAAGCAGTGAATGAAAAAAGACTTACTTAATCTCGATCAGCAAGAAGCCGCATTATTACAAAGAGATCACTTGGGTGACAGTGAGAGTGCATGTATTAGGGTAACGCACACACACACAAGCTTTCACACGCTTTTACACGCTTTTACACGTGAGTCACGGAAAGTGGAAAAGAGCCTTGAACTCTGGACATTACAGTTAGTTTACAGCCCCTTTCTCCTCCCATTCACCAGCTCATTCAGTACCTCTGAATGCCTCTATTATTCCAGCTCAGCTTCCACAGACTCACGTGTGTGTGTGTGTGTGTGTGTTTGTGTGTGTGTGTGTGAGAGAGAGAGGGAGAGAGAGAGAACAGGGTGAGAAAGGTAGGCAGGGATAAGGTTATAGAGTAAATGAGAATCTACAGGAGGTCTATCTGTATGAAACAGAAGCCATTAAAACAGAGAAAGCTGATAAAACAGAGCAACTAGAATGATAGTAAAGTTGTTTTTATTTCATAAATATACACACACATAACGCATAACACAATACACACAACAGGAACGTAAGTAAATTGCTGTGGAGCTGAAAACCAGAGGAATGAACTCACACCCTTAGAAACTATTTTTTAAATAAATTTCAAAACATCAAACAAATAAAATCCAGCTCTCGAAAAGCAATGAACACAGAATGAATAGAATAACATGCAGTCTTATTGTCTTATCCTATTGTGCCAAAAAAAAATAAAAAATCCCTCACCCATCACTCTTACTTTGAAAATAAAATATCACATTTTACTAATACAATAATATACTCAAGAAAGGCAGATTTGAACTATCAGTAGGAACACGCAGCTCTGCGTCTTCAGTAGTGTATCTGTTTCAAAAGCAATAAGAGGTTTTTGACACGCTCGGCACGCCAGCGAGGAGACTGGTGCAGCGGCAGCTCGAAGAAGGAGAAAGTGAAGCTCCGAGAGAAACTGAGGTCAGTGACGGGGTGAAGCGGTGGGAGACGGGGGGCACGAGGAAGCCGACACTGAGGCAACACCCTCCGCCTCAGCTGCAAATCTTTAGCTGCTCCACCTGTGCAAAAAGATGTTCTGGTTAGGGCAGGGACAGTATTAAAACACAGACAGTTAAAGGACAATATTAAATATAGAATATTACATATTTTATATCACAATAATATCAACAGGAGATACATGTTAAATGAGTCAGATTAACTGATAACTGATGCCTCTGTTCCTCTTCTTACAATGTAACTCAAAGCTAGGCTAACATGATTTTTAGCTGCATTCACTCTATTTATGTGCTTTGTATAATGTAACATGACAAAGTATTTTTATAAGACACACAATGTAGCACTAAAGTTATCATAGTTAATAACAAGGAAACATAATACTTAATAATAATTAATGGGTTACATGTGATAACACTGGGTGTGTTCCATTTAGCATTAATAATTAATCATGAAAAACATCCATCCATCCTCATCCGCTTTGTCCGGGGCCGGGTCGCGGGGGCAGCAGCCTAAGCAAAGAGGCCCAGACCTCCCTCTCCCCAGCCACCTCCTCCAGCTTATCCGGGGGAATACCAAGGCGTTCCCAGGCCAGCCGAGAGATATAATCTCTCCAGCGTGTCCTGGGTCTGCCCCGGGGCCTCCTCCCGGTGGGACATGCCTGGAACACCTCACCCAGGAGGCGCCCAGGGGGCATCCTTGTCAGATGCCCGAACCACCTCAGCTGGCTCCTTTCGATGTGGAGCAGCAGCTGCTCTACTCTGAGCCCCTCCCGGATGGCCGAACTTCTCACCCTATCTCTAAGGGAGAGGCCAGCCACCCTTCGGAGGAAGCTCATTTCTGCCGCTTGTATCCGCGATCTTGTTCTTTCGGTCACTACCCACAGCTCGTGGCCATAGGTGAGGGTAGGGACGTAGACCGACCGGTAAATTGAGAGCTTCGCTTTTACACTCAGCTCCCTCTTCACCACGACGGACCGGTGCAGCGTCCGCATTACTGCAGCTGCAGCCCCAATCCGTCTGTCGATCTCCGGCTCCCTTCTCCCATCACTCGCGAACAAGACCCCGAGATACTTGAACTCCTCCACTTGGGGCAAGAACTCATCCCGGACCCGGAGTGGGCACTCCACCCTTTTCCGGCTGAGAACCATGGCCTCAGATTTGGAGGTGCTGATCCTCATTCCCGCTGCTTCACACTCGGCTGCGAACCGTTCCAGTGCGAGCTGGAGGCCCTCACCCGATGAAGCCAACAGAACCACATCATCTGCAAAAATCAGAGATGAGATTCTGAGGCCACCAAAGCGAAAGCCCTCCGCCACTTGGCTGCGCCTAGAAATCCTGTCCATAAAAATTATGAACAGAACCGGTGACAAAGGGCAGCCCTGGCGGAGCCCATCACCCACCGGGAACGAGTCCGACTTATTGCCGGCAATGCGAACCAAGCTCTTGCAACGGTTGTATAGGGATCGAATGGCCCGTAGCAATGGGCCAGACACCCCATATTCCCGCAACACCTCCCACAGGACACCCCGAGGGACACGGTCGAATGCCTTCTCCAAGTCCACAAAACACATGTAGACTGGTTGGGCAAATTCCCATGCACCCTCAAGTATCCTGGAGAGGATAAAGAGCTGGTCCAGTGTTCCGCGACCAGGACGGAAACCGCATTGTTCCTCCTGTATCCGAGGTTCAACTAACGGACGAACTCTCCTTTCCAGCACCCTGGCATAGACTTTCCCAGGGAGGCTGAGGAGTGTGATCCCCCTGTAGTTGGAACACACCCTCCGGTCCCCTTTCTTAAAGATGGGGACCACCACCCCGGTCTGCCAGTCCACAGGTACTGCCCCTGATCTCCACGCAACATTGCAGAGGCGTGTCAACCAGGACAGCCCTACAACGTCCAGAGCCTTCAGGAACTCGGGCGGACCTCATCAACACCAGGGGCTCTGCCACCAAGGAGTTGTTTAACTGCCTCAGTGACCTCGCCCCCGGAAATTGGCGGGTCATGAAAAACATTTTTTAAAATAATCTGTCTGCTGCCAACTTTTTCTTTGTATCGTAAAGCATAATTACAGTATATTAAAGTGTGTGAGTGATCTTATTTGAATTCTTTTTAAATTTTACAGGCTCCGTTAAATTAACTATCAGCTATTAGGTATCAATCACTACCAAGTGTTCCTGCAGGGACGTTATGTGTGTAGCTGGACTCATTAGACTTTAAGTAATATTGTCATCTGGTTTTGTTTGGTAATGGCTGTCCCTTTTTGTAGTCATACCTGCGCTGTTTTGCGTGACTGCCACAGGTGGAGATGGAATTTGAGAGTTAAAACTTGAGCCTGAACTGTCTTTGTCTTCTTCTTGTCTCCTGCCATGATATGGGGTAGCTGACGGTATTTGCTCGGGAACAGGAGAGGCTGGGGGTGGAGGTGGAGAGGGTCGTGGAGTAAGTATTTTGGGAATTGAGTCAAAGCAGGACTCAGATAGAGCCAGCCTTCCCCAAGGAGTCATGGTGGCGTCTGAGAGGAGGATGGAGGAGGGTCCTGGATGAGGGTGAGTGTCAGAGGAGAAAGAAGTCTTCTGCTGTCTGTTACGCTTTCTGCGACTGGACTGGTGGGGGTGCCAGAGACCTGGAGAGGAGGGGGTTGGCTTGGCTGTAAACAAAAGCAGTGGAGATGGTAAGAGAAACTTTTGCTTTTTCAATAAACTGTAATTGGAACTGATGCACTAACAAGAACTGATTTGATTTCCCTAATATAATTTTTCCATAACTTTCATTTTTTGATGAAGTCTATCCCCATGTTTATCGCTGACGTCGCCTTGATTTGTTGGAAAAAAGTATGGAAAGTCTAATCTTGAAAACGTATTTCTTAAATGCTGAAATCCTCATTGTCCAATACTGCGAGTATCATGACATAAAAATGGAAAGTGCTAACTAAAAAAGGTGAGCAAGTGAACATTTTCACAGTGCAGGTTAAAGAGTCCCAGTAGCAAAATCCTCATTCTATCAATCAATCTCTTTTTCTATAGCACATTGAAAAGGACAGTGTTCAACAAAGTGCATTTGTTGACCAGTGTCAGAATATTGTCATGTGGTGAGATAAAGACATGTCTATAAAGAGGTGACACAATTTGAGTTGGATTTATGCTACATGAAAACTTCTGCTTGTATGATTTCATAACTTGTATCATTTTGTTTGTGGAGACCTTGCACTGTCAAAAGGGCAACTCTGCCACAGAAATAACCACATTGCACAAAATAAAACACTCATTAATTATAATAGCTGTGAGTTAGATCACTTTATCTAACTCTTCAGTAATATAGTCCTTAAATCTCATTGATTACCTGTTGATTTAGTCCCAGATGAACCAATGAAAGGCAGGCGGTCAGGTAACATTACCAGTCCAGGAGCCTGAGAGCAAATATACATTTTCTTTAATCTTTGTAGCTGTAGCGATCACACTAAGTCTATCTGAAAGGCAGTCCACTTTTAGAGAAAGAAACAGTTGCTGGATGGAATTCCCTTCATACCATACTTTTGGATTTGGGTTAAGACAAAAGATAAACATTGTTAAGACTAATAGACATGTTGACACCAAAGCAAAGCTCTCCTCCCAGCCCTCATTTCTTTATATTTGTAAGTGAATTAAGAAGGATTTGCAGTGATTTGCTGAAATGTGCAAACATAAATGTAAATACACACTACAAGGCAAAAACAGTTTGTACAATTCGAATAAGGATGAAAGTCAATATTTTGTAAGACCACCTTTATTCTTCAGTACAGTCACTCTTAGGCTTTATTCTAATTTATTTAAGCAGTCTCCAGGTACACGTGGCCAGGCTTTTTTGAAGGACATTCAAAGCTCTTCTTTGGACGTTGGCTGCTTTTTGTTCCGTTCTCTGTCAAGATGATCCCACACTGCTTCAGTAATGTTGAAGTCTAACATGATGGAAGCTCTACCAGGTTTTACAGATGGCTGTAGAGACTCACTGTTGTTCATGTTAAAGATGATTTGAACCAAAACTTTAAAATTGAGATTCATTCCTAAGGCCTGTTGTGACTGATTTTAAGTCCAATTCTTGTGTAATTTGACATATATCAGCCTTTTCTCCCTGTTTCCCTTCTTATGAATGGCTTCTTGACAGCCACCCTTCACTGAGACCCTGCACTGGCCCTTCAGTGAACAGTGGATCAACTGAAGGGCATACTGTTTTTCTGTTGAATGTGAAAAATGATGTGCTTCTGTCACAGGCTGCTAGTAACAAAGTGCCTAAAGACAGAACAAATTTACAAGAATGGGTTGGCTGGCTTGGAAGGAAAAATATAAAGTAATCATTACTTTTGCGTGGTACTGTACACTATAATGTTTATAGATAATATTTGAGTATTACCCATTAAAGTTGAGGAACAAAAAGGGAAAACAAATAAACAAACAAAACATCACAACAATACAAACAACAATAAGTAATGGATCAACATCAGAAACAGTGATGAAAAGCCAGGAGAGAGAGAGAGTGTACCTCTCTGATAGATGTAAAATGCTCCTCCTTCTGCAGATGTGGGTCAGAAGTGGGTCAGAAGACTCAGGGGCAATTTCCCAGCTCACACTTCCCCACACCAGTCTGTGAAGATCTCTGAAACTGGATTTTTATCAATTATTTCCACTCTCCTGCTTGAAAACCACAGGCGAAATTCTAGACAAACAAAAAGGTTTTCATAAAGTGTAAAATTTCTTAAAAGTTTAATAGTTGTTTTTTTTTTACCCCTGTATTATCCTACAATCCTGCCTCTCTCGCTCCTCAAACAACAAAAACCAGCAGCAAGAAGCCCCCCACCACCTTCACCATGCAAGCACTCATGCGCTCACTCACCCTAGCCCCTCATCTTTTCTTCCTTCCTAACTGACAGTTGTGGTCACAAAGAGAGCTATGGGAAATGGTGCAAGAAGCTGTCTTCCCCGTTCTTTCAGGTCCCTCTTCTTCAACACCCTCCCTCTCTTTTACTCACCGTTTCCTCCTTCCTCTCTCTTCCTTCTTCTTTCATTGTGAGTGGCAGGCAGTGAGATGGGAGGTCAGCAGAAAGCAATATGAGACAAGACTGAAATATTAAAATATTCATGGACACCTGCAGTCGGCCCCTCCATGTGCCCCAACCTGCACACAGCCGTCCAAGTGCGTACACATCCAGATATGTGCACACACTGGAATCTAATTTAGCTAATGTCAGTAATCCAGCATTTAGACCATGTGTCAAGTAACCAGTAATCATCACAGAGTCCTATTTCCATTACTTCTGAGGACATTACATGGACTTGCCATAATTTATTGGAAGTCTAATAATAAACCAGGAATTCACCTTTAAATGTAGTAATCTAATACTAATATTCAGAGGACTTGTTTTTCACCCTCCCCCTGTCCCCACATGTGACTGACTTTATAATGTCCCCACAACATGAGGAATACAAGCAAACACACACACACACACAGAGTGCAGGTGGGCACTTCATCTGTGTTCGTAGTTAAATTCCAAGCAGGTGACAGTGAATCAACACACATTGAGCACACACTCTTTTGTACTTTTTGACATTTAACATGCCTGAGGTGAATATTCTCTTTGGCATCTTCCACAGCTACATTTGCATGCCAGGGACACTCACACACACACACACACACACACACACACACACACACACATACACAGTCGCATATCAACGTGCCACTTAAGCATCTCATCTCAAAGCACTACATTTGCATTTTATAAACAAATACGCAAATATACACAGTATAGGCAGGAGTGGTTATATAAATCCTCGCTTTCAGCCAATAACACACAGCATACTGACACTATGAACTGACTCAAACTACAATTACTTTTTTAAACCCTCGTGGTTGCTGCGTGACAAAGTGGGAGCCTCTGCTGCAGATTAGTCAGGTCTCAGAGGAGATTCCTGAGACTTCTAATCTCAAATAATTTGTCCTGTGACAATTATTTTGACAGTTTGCATTTTTATGTCTAGCTTTAAGCTCATCACAATGTTAGACAGACACATTTTTGGAACATAAACCAATCTGAATTTAAGTACCTTGCTTGAGGACAAATCTTGGGAGTAGGTGAGGTGATAGCCTAGATTTACACTGCAAATTTCTGTTTTGAGGTTTTTTACTGTGTGGAGAAATGAACTCCCAAGACTCTTCATCTAAAAACAAAAAGGCCTTTATTTCCTGGCTGGATGAGATGCACCATACTGTATTAAAAATAACTCCAGTCACTTCAGCCATCTTTGTGCAGCTTGGTACTATTCCCTTAAAGTAGGCCACAGATGCCACAAACACATCAGAGATGGTTTTTAATGTTCTCTGTGCCGTGAATGCTTTCAGTGTTTTCTTAAAGGAAACACCAGGAAAAAAAATAGCTGCTCGCATCTACGAAATTAATAAATGGTTTGCTTTCTAAAGGATCTGAAATCAGTTAAGACAAATTAAAGAACATTTTTAATCCTTCATTTAATTACCGTACACTGGGAACATAGCTGGACTGGCCATCGGCGGTGGGCCAATGGTGATTTTTCGTTTTTATGGGGCGACGTTTTTTTGTAACGGTATAAACAATGAAAGGTGGTGGATTGGCCAATTGGTCATGATCGACTCTGGGCAGGACCAATTACAGCTGATGAGGTCGAACTTTAAAGTTCCGTATTTAGGTGTAAAGAAACGCGAATTGTCCCGAACTTCAGCAAAAATTAAAAAAAAAAAGAAGCAAAAAGACACAAAGCTGGAGTTAATCTGTGTCTTTACGCTGCAGCTGCCTCTTCTTCTCTCATTCTCTCTCCCTCCATCTCCTGTTGCTACTTCAATCATGAAACTGATCAATGATCAGCTGATCGGCTTTGCTGTCCTAAGTCCCGTCTCGTTTGTTTATTGTGGCGCTAAACAACAGCAGCACGTTTAAGCTTGATAACATGTTGTTATAATTTATTTAATATTACTTTCTAGTATCAACTGACGTTTGCTGGAGCCACAGCCGTAAAGGCGCTGGTCAACACAGTTTCCCTCTCACCAGATATCCCAACCGATATCTGGTGAGAGGGAAACATGAAGATGAAACCAGGAGATGTCCTTACTGAACCATCAGAGCTGAACAGGTGATGGAGAAACAGGTTTACCTTTTAGTTGACATGAATGATTGGAAGGGAAGTTATGAACTGTTTCTGAGAGACAAATAACACCAGCATCCTTTTCTACGTAGCTGACTGGGAATAAATGTTTTTATCATTTTCATGCAACAAAAAAATAAAGAAACAAAAACTAGAGAATAAATACTTTAAACAATTACCAGAGACATACATTTACATCAAAGTATACAGCTGCAATTAAGACAGGTAATTGAGAAATAATTTTAAAAAATATGTCCCTTTGTGAAGTTTTTACAAAGTATCTTTAATCTTTTTATTCAGAATCATTTCTTGGAGAGTCACTTTAATTCGCTTCGTCCAGCTTTCCCTTTTCTCCATTTTCTCTGCATCCATCTCCGGATTCTTGACTCGTAGTAGCTGGAAGCCCTGACCGCAGACGAGCGCCCATCGCTCCCATCGCTCCCTCAAACCTGTCTCAGGCTTTACTGCACTCACAGGCTTACCTACGCAGTCATTCTCTGGTTGATTTCTTGGACTTGTGCCCGTCTCTTCTTTCTCACCAGCAGTCTTACTAACTGGGCCACCTGTCTCGCTCTCTACCTCAACAGGTTCTTTACTGCTTTTCTCATCAGCTGTTTCTTTATCCCTCTTGAGCCTCCCAGCATTCTCCTGCTCAGACTCAAATCCTATCTTCACTTTCTGATTTCCTTCCTCACTTTCCCAGACTGCGAGCCCTGCAGCATCAGCAACGTGGGAGCACATTGCCCCATAGTGGCTGATACTGTTACTGCAGACCTTCCAAAGGCAAACCCTCTGATCTGAGGAAGTGGAGACCAAGAGTCTGGTCCAGGACCTTCAGCGCTGTTAGAGGGGCAGCATGGGCCAGTGATATGTGGCACTGGAGTGGAGATGAATCTGAAGGCCTGTCTGACACTGGAGCTGCTTTTGTAGGAGAGGCTGAGACTCAGAAATCTGAGAAAACCCTACTTGGCTCCCGATTTTCCCACCTTCTGAGTGCTGCACCCCGATTGTGGACACAGTCAGCTGTCCATCATCTCCTCCGCTAGCAACAGTTACCAGGCAACTACCCTGTTGTTGTCCCATTTTTTCTGCCCAAACAGCCAATGAGTTAATCCCACTCTGGTGGGCGGGAACATCGAGGCAGGGGACTGGTGATGTTGCAGCACAGCTCGAATTATCCGTTGATGAGGACAAAGAGTCGGTCAAATTCCACACTGCGATTTTCCCATCAGTCGCAGCGCTGAACAGCAGCTT